CTGCCTTTTTCAAAATATTCCTGCTTAATAACATTCAGCTACCTGTAGGTCTCTTTTACTTTCAAAAACTCTAGTTGGTTCTGTAGTGCATCTTTTGTTCTAAATCCAAGATTGGTTAAGTTAATGCCTTGATTCTAACTGTTTCAAATCATTCAGTAATATATTCTTCTCTTTTTGCATTTTTTTCCCTACTTGAGGCCAGAGAGATAAACAAAGCTTTCATACTGTAGATAAGGAAACATCAGGGGTTTAACTGGTTTGGAAGAAGCTCTTTAGTTCCTAGTAACACTTCAGTTTTGTATTTTCTTGTAATAATAATAGTTCATTAAGTCTCCACCTATTCACTCTAGAATTCTTCTATTTAGTCTTACAATTATTGGATTATAAACTGTGTTAAGAGCTGCTACCTCCATATCTATGAGGCTGGTTAACACTGAATTAGAAATTGAACATGACTAGCCTTGAATAAGTTTTATGAACCGAAGAGCAGGAGACATACTCTCTCTGCAGGATGTTTATATCTCCCTGCACCCAAGAGAGATAGCAATGACATATAAACTGAAATTTTTTGAGGGGGTTTCCCAGACTTTCTTCTGCAGAAAATCATTCTGAGAACCAGTTTGTTGTAGTGGTTAAGACACCTGGCTAGAATCCAGGAAACCATGAGTTCTAGTCCTGCCTTAGGCTTGAATCTGCCTGGGTGACTTTGGGGTCACTCCCTCTCAGCCCTAGGAACAAGGCAATGACAAACCGCCTTTTAAAATCTTGCCAAGAAAACTGCAGGGACTAATTCAGGCAATTGCCAAGAATCAAAGCTGACTTGAAGGAAAAAGGAAATCATTTTATCCACACAAATGTGGGAAAAATTCATTTATATATCTTGAGAATTAGAATGTCTTTCTCTGCAATTTCCAGAAATACTTAAAAAAAAAATAGAACTTCAGTTTGTTATCATTCGGAGGATAAACTGAGGCAATTGTTATTTTTTCAGATTGAATCTGAAACTGTAATATCTTCTTTCCTCATCTTGGACTTATTTCTCTAAGGCTATATGACTTGCCTGTGGTTTAACACCACAACCTACAACCTATCTGGAGTTTTACAATCAGCATCACCAGAATCAGCCAGGCTTGTCATATTGTTCAAACGTCATAGCAACCAAGACTGACAAAATTTGATGGGCTTTGGTGCCTTCATGTCCAGAAATGCAGAGCATGGGAAGACTAAAAATTCTGAGAGGCAAAGCTGCTGCACCAGAAATGCCTATAGTTTCCATCCTTGGAACTATCCTTCTCTGGTCAAAAGCCAAGTAGTTTTATATTTTCACTTGTGCCCTTGAAACTGTGAAGAAAAAATGGCATTAAGGCTGAAATTGATTTACTCCGAGGTCTTCATTAATTGGAAAGGATGAGCATGAAGTCAACTCCCTAGTCTCTGTTGGACAAATGCAAAAAATGTTTTGCACAGCCACCATTGTTCTCTCCTTTAGAAGCAGGCCCCGCTACTTTCCTGGAAGTAAATAAATAAATAAATGCTCCAACAATTTAGAAAATTTCCAAGCACGTTTTATGCCCAGTTTGGAAGAGCAAGACAGCTGTTTCATTAATGTTTTTCAAAGTCTTGGAGAATTTTGTGCTTTAGAGAACAACTGCCTTAGTCCTAGATGGCTTATTTTATTTATTGATTTAAAAGATATATATGGCTGCCTATCTTAGAAAACACAACTCTGGGCAACTTGCCTTGTTCTTAGGGCTTCTTCCTCACTGTTTATCCACACTAGCTAGAAGCCACATTTTCCCATTAGATATTTTCAGTGCTGCCTAATGTTGGAAATCAATACTTCTGGTCCATATGACCTCCAGAAAAAAAAACGCATTCCAACATACTGTGTTATCAACAATAGACAGTCAAATGCACTTTTAATTATTGTTCAGATGTATAAATGATGGCTTGTTGCAAAGGATGCCTTGTGCTCTGATGAAACAGTGATGGCTCAATGTACTACTACTACTACAATTCTCCCAACCCTGTCCACAACTTTTACTAACATCTCCACCTATTAAATGTGTTGTTGTGTGGTGGAGGATGGGAACCAATGGCTGTCCAGCTGTTATTGCATAACAATTCTCAATAGTCCCTGGTAGCATTGCCAATGGTGAGGCACACAGAGAGTTGTAATTCAATGGCAACCAGAGGGCTCTTGATCCCTGCACTTGCTGCATAATACAGGAATGGACAACTCAGTAACTTCCAGAAGTTTTAGACTACAGTTCTCAAAATACTATGCAAACTATTATTAATTAATAAACTTATTTATATGCCACTGTAATCAAAAATAACTCTTGGTGGCTCATGTAGAAAAATACAACATAAAACAAACCCCATACAAAAATAAAAATGCAATGCTACAGGAATAGAAAGGAACCAAAGATGGCCACCACAACTCAAGTCAGGGGAAGGCTTTCCAAAAAAAGCTTGGTATTGAGGAGTGTGTGGAAAACCAGCATAGAAGGAATCAGCTTGATCTCCATAGGGAGTTATTCCAACAGAGAAGCAGCACCTCCTTTCCTCAGCTCCCTAAACCTCCCAGATGGGTGGGACCTGCAGCAGTTTCTCTCTGCTAGATCCAATTGGTTAGGTCAAAACCTGATGGAGAAGGCAGGCCTGAAGGCATCCATGTAGGCTGTGACACATGAAAAGCGAAGTTTGGACTACTGGAGTAACACCAGGGATCCAGACCAGTGGTTAGTAAATGAGGCGCTGTATTATCCTTTCATCTTTTGTCCATGTTAGAATGCTTTGCAATTGAATATGGGTATCCCTAATCTACCAGAAAAGCTCAAATTGTCACTAAGAAACATGTCAAATTGTGTCTGAATATATTCAGATACTACAGCTATATTTTATCATTCATTCTCACCGGAAAGGCATCTTACATGGGGGTCCCTCTAATGGTGTTGTTGCTCTTTTTTCTCAAATACATATTATTCACATGATTTTGCTTACCCATTGCCATCTTCAGACTTCATGAAAGATGGATTGCTATCACCAAGTACAGAAATATAGGACATTTAATTTTCAATTCCTGTTCCAAACTAACCTGTTTGAGTTCAGTTTCCATTCTTACCAGATTTGGGAAAAAATGATACTTGTTATCCTATTGGAAGCCCTGGAAATGGAGTTTCCAACAGGTTAGCAAGCAGTTTCAGTTATCTTGATTGTCTAATTTACATTTGATACCATCAAACATGATATATTCCTGGGACATGCTAGACTGGTTTCAACGGTCCTATTGTACACAGAGGAATAGTAAAGATCACTGTATAGACACTGCAGTGGAACTGCTTCCCCAAATAGAGAAAGAGAAAAACAAAAACAAAAAACCACACAATCTATTTTGGATTCGAAGACATACACAGATTAAATAGGCAGGATGATTATGGAGGCTGAAATTCTAGGCACACTTATTTGGGAGAAAGTCCCATGAAATTTAGTGAGTTTTACTCCTGAGGACCAAGAGAAGATCTGATAGTAGAATAAAACATACCCTTGAATATATATATTTTAAAATGCCTGCTTTACATTGTGAGGCTCTGTGTAGCTGTGAAAACTTCCTGTCATCTGGCCAGGCTGATCAAAAAGCATTTGTACCACTAATTCCAAGTGAGATTATGAAGTCCCTACATCTAACCCCTTTGAATTTTAAACCCCTTTATAAGCCTTGTTACTATACTTTGAAACTGTTAGTTACTCCTATGGAAATGAGCCATTCTTTAAAAAATATCAAGATTTTTTGATGCAGAAATCAATCCTCCAATTAGAAGTGTGGAAACAGCTACCTATTTGGAACATTTTGGAGATTCAGAACTTTTAAGGACATGCTTCCACCAAAAAGTCACTTTTTTGTGAGATGAGCATATACAAATATGATAAATAAATATATATATAAAAAAAAAGGAAACAGGAAACCATTATGACTTACGTACTAATGGCAGAAGTAGTGGCTCCCAGGCCACGTATCCAGATCATCCATTAGACTGCACTTCCAAGCTCTTCCTAACAAGAACATATTTACTACTATTGAGCTTCCCATAATTGCAATCTCACTCTTGATTTGGTTAACTTGGGAAACTGAATACTTGTTTGTGGGAAGGGAACACAGTAATAACGGAAGGAATTCTCAGAACCCAAAATGCAAGAATAGAATAGGAAATTGATTTTTGTCTGCTTAAGTGGAGACTGAGAATTCTGATATTACTTAAAGGAATAACTTGTAACCATAACCCACTCTAAAGATGGTTTTTAACGCTTAGGGAAGCTTCAGAAAACATCATGAAATCATTCTGGTTTGACAGCGTCTCTTCCCATCAACAGTACCAAACACTGAGAAATGCTAAGTGTTAAAATAATCACAGGCAGCACAATGAGGCTTATTCGCAAATAGAAATACCTACAGTCCTATAGTTGAATAGCCTATCCCAAACAAGTTTATTCAGTGGGGTGTCCCAAATAACTGTGCACAAAATTACAACACAGACATCCAACACATGCCTGTGAGATATATGTAGCCACAGCCCTGTCACCCAGCACTCAGGCCAGAAATTAGTGTCTTCTTAGAGGCATATTCTCTGAATGCCAGGAAAGTCTGCCATAAGCTCACCTAAAGTCAGGCTTTTAATTAAGGACCTGCTTGTTCATCTGAATTTTGCCATAAAAGGATTAGAAAAAGGGGAACCTAGATATACTGGGGGGAATACAAGTCTTCCACTTTTTACATTTACTGCAATGATAAGGACAGACCTGGACTATACCACTCACCAATTTCATACTAAGGTTTATTGTGTACTACAAAATCATTTTGCGAAAACCAATAAATAAAAATCAAAAGTGAAAAAAAATGCTGGTGTATATTTAGTAGTAAGAAATACACCACAGAGATTGGTCGTGAATCTCATCAATACCCCAAAGTGTCTAGTTTGTCAAAACATGAAAACACTTACTTGTTTTTATATGATGTATTTATATTTACAAGGTACATTTTTAAAGCAATAGCTACAATGATCATACTTATTAGAAACAATAAAAAAGAAGTTAAGAACTAAAATGTACATCATACACTTGTATATATATTCTTTACACAGAGGTAAAAAGGCTTATAAAAATCAATACAACTGAGTTTTTAACTTTTAGTATACAGATACATAATGGAAGGTTGCTTCAGGCACTTAAATCTGTTAACATGAGCAATAGCTTGAAAAAAATCACAACCGAGGAAAAAGAAACATCTTTTCGTTAATGGATTGTTACCACAGATACAAAAATAAAATCTGAATAATTTCTCAGATGATTACTGTCAGTACTGAAAAGCTGAGAGGAAGAAGACACCACACACTGATCAGCTGCGGTGTGGAGATCAAGGGGAAATATTTACACCCCCCGTTCCCCCGTTTCTGCTCTTGTGCCCCTCTTGAAGCCTCCTTCCCAAAACAATCCTCTTGCTCCAACACACAGGGAGAAAGAAGGAACGTGAAACAAAGTGCCAAGGATTCAAACAAAGCCAAGGTAGAGGTGGGAAGAGGGAATTTACAGAAAAGGCAGGTAGGAAGTTGGAGAGTTTTAGCTGCTTTAGCAAAATAAATAGGGGCACTTAAATGGAGAAGCTTGACAATCCTTAAGATCTCTTCTGTAGTGTTGTGCTTTGTAGAGGAAAAAGACCTTACAGAAATTTGGGAGAATGGGACAACTTTGCAATAATCACTATGATAATAAAGTTGTTCCATTATTTTATTTTGAGGCTGGCTTGATGTTTTCTAGTCACCCTTTAGAGATTTGTCATTTGCTGTCAGGCACAAAAATATGCATTTTCCCCATGAATTTCCCCCGAGTTAAAAAAATAATACTAAAATAAAGTGAAGAGCTTCCCTTACCGTTTAGCACTTTTCCACAAAAGGAAATTTAACAGCAATATTTTCATTTATACTATATATGTTGTCTATATATTACAGACAAATCCCAAATTTGGAATTTGAAACATGAACAATGGAGATCTTAGAGCCAATTGACTTACATGTTACATAGAACTGCAGGCTGCAATTGAGGAATTGTGTTTTAAATACTTGACGTATAGTAAACTAGTCCTTCAAGGAGAGGATTATGTCAAATCTCACTGATCTGCTAAAAAAAAAAGAACAGTATTACATGGTTCCCTGGGCAAGTGAAGGATGAAGTGATCCAGTTCAGACTTCTACCCTCGGTCAAGGGTAGAAGTTAATTTCAATTTCTAATTTTTCCAAGCCTTAAACTTGGCTTATCCCATTTTTGTATTGATCTTTTTAAATACGTACAAACTTTAGGTGAATATTTGTACCATTTTTGTGCTAAATGGTAAGCATATTTCCCAGCAGAAGGCAATTCTACACACTAATTCTTTTTGGTCGCCTTTCTCCTGATACCTGATCCCTCATTGTTTTGTTTGGAGAATTGCAACCCAACATTCACATGAGTGCACATTTCAAAAGATAAGTGAATTTCATTTCATGTATAGTTTGAAAATGCAAAATTAGGTGGTTCACAATAAAATGAAGAACTAAAACCAATTGCCCCAATCCCAGTATCACTGTTCTGCATAATACGTCAAAGATCTGCGTTTGCACTGTCCTCGCTTTACCTTTGTGACAGAAAGTTTACAGCCAAGTACTCTCAGCTGCAAAGGTGACACAAGAAACCCCCAGGGGAAAGAGCAGCTCCTTCCCAAAAAGGACAGCCATATTGGCATGGGGAGGGGCTTTAGCAGGAGCCAGGAGCTTGGAACAAGGCTCAGGCAGCATGGGAACATAGGGGTATGTTCCAGCAGGTCCTGCAATGCAAGGAGAAGCTGACTCAAGATCTTAGGTTGGTTTCTACACTGACACCTGCAAGCCAGTGTGGCCTTTCCCCAAGACTTCTCCTGAGGTGCCCTGAGTTTTAAGAGTGGCTTGTTATATGGCAAAAAGTTGGGATGGAGGTTGGATTCATGAGGGTTGTTCACTGCAAGGGTGCTGGATCCCAGCCCAAGTCTTTCTGGATTGGTCCAATGCATTCTACGTCGTGCCCAGAGCAGAGGGCTGCAAAAGGGGGAAATGTCCTCTGATCGTGAAATCAATGCCTGAGTAGAACCAGGGGTGCTCTGGCTGCAGGATTTGGCCATAACATCACAGACTGTTGTTGCATATGCAATGAAATGAGATCAAAGCAACAACACTCCTGGAAGGAGCTGCTGGCCTGTTTTGCATGGAACAATGCAAGCGTGCTCACTCTTCGTTGCTGCTATTTGGCAAAAATGAAAAGCCATTTCCTTTTCGTTTAATTAAGACTTCTTTCAATGTGCAATAGAAGAGGTGGGAGGGGGCAAGGTCACACATGCCCCGGCAGTCGGCTGCCCAAAGCACGAGCAGCAGTGCCTGTTCTCACAAGCCAGTGCCTAGCTGCCTCAGAATATTCAGACTGTACTATGCTATATTATAGCTAAACTGTTCTACACTTTATTCCTTTGAATAAAACCTTTGCTATTTCCACATCATATATTAGAAAAATATTATTTCCCCAGCTTATTACAAGCCTTGTACACAAGACATGGCTTTAAAGAAAACGAAAGTCAAAACCTCACAAAATTAAGGTATCGCTTCACCGTGCTGTATTTTACAACTTAGAAACCAAAGAAGCAGGTCTGATACAGGTTCTGCAACGCATGCACGCTTTATGCGCTATCAGGTTATATTCAAATTCACTGCTTGCAAGTGTTGGGCTGCCTAGTGATTCCAGCAGGACCCACCTTTCTGATATGAAGGGCTAGTAAAGTATTTGAAGGGTCCTAGTATCTACTGTACTTTCACGGCAGGAGGGTAAGAGGGCCTAGGGTTCATCCAACTCTGATCCAAGGATTATTTGCTCTGGTTCTCTGCAGATACCAAATATGCTGGTTCAGTGCATTTGAGAGTGAAGAGCAACATGGTCTTATGCCAACTGCAGGTTGATCCTGTTGCCTGCACGGCAGATAGCTGGGGGTGGGGGTGGGGTGTTGGTTCAGGCCAATGACAGAGAACCCTGTAAACACCATGGGGCAACTTTGCCTCAATATTTTTTGCTTCCTCTCTGTGTATGATGTCACTGAACTGGAAACAGAGGAAGTAGTAACATTGACCCAACTCCACTAGGAATTATTCACGTTCACAGTATAGCTACTCTGCAGATCCAGGAACTTGAGGAATGGAAGATACATGCTGCCTGGATGGGGCAACCTTTCTCAGTTAGTCAATTTCACCTAAGGACAAAGGCATGCATGTAGATGAAGAAAAGGGGCAGAGGCTGGAGCGTGCATTGGTACTAAAAGCATGAGTAAATGCTTCTTTTAATTCTCCCCTTCCCACCTCTGCAACATCTCTGGGGAAACTCCAATAAAACTAACTACCTTAGTAAGCTTCACCAGGCATCTCTGGATTCATGACTGGGACAATATGTGTCATGTCCTCTTAGGCTTTTCTTTAAAGAAAAAAGAAATAAATGCATTTCCATTGAAAGAAACTGAATGCTTAAAAGAAGCCATGTTCCTGCCTACATCTAAGTGATTGTCAAATGCTGTGGCAGCAGTGACCTTGAGCCCTCTGGCTGTGTTAGATCTACACCCACATCCAACAAGCCCAGGAGCAGGCAGTCCTGTCTCTTCCTCCATGATAGAAAATGTTCAAAGCACCCTCATAGGTTCAAAGGCCTTCAAGGCAAAGACACTGGCCAATGAAATGCCTTGTAGCCGAGGCTTCCCTATATTTCTGGATTAGTCTGGAACCCCCTGGAAAGCGTAAAACCTCAGATTAATTCCGGACACACTCCCACCCTGGATTCCAAAAAGGGGAAATGGAGGAGGATCCTTTCCTTTATCTTTAGCATACTGACCACGTTTAAAAGCAACATTCCCTCTTTTTCCTTTCAACGTACACAAGTGCATGGGTGTACGTGCCAATTTCAAAACATGCAAAATCCCCCTTTGCCTCAGATAGGAACACCACAGCATAAAGACTGTTTTCATTGGGAAGAACATCAATGCAAAGCTAATATTTCCACTGTTATTTGGAAGAGAAAGGCGACGGTGGCTGGGGGAAAGAGGAAGAGGAGAGATTTATTTATAAAGTTTTCATTTTGTGTATAAAAATTGGTCTGAAATCACAGGAGTTCTCAGATTTCTCACATATTATACAGGTAATACTAAGGCTCATTTCCCACGTTTTAGCTGAACCCTCAAAAATCAGAAAATTCACTTGCATCCTTGCAGAATAGAGAAATCATCCCAGAAGACTACCAAAAACCATGATGGAACTTTTCAGGAACTGTAGCTTGTGTGATTGTCAGCCCTACAATACCATGGTGCACAATTGTTACCCGCACACACCTTCTGTATACACACAAATCCATACCCTCTAACTGACTGCAAGGTGATCACAATCCAAAGTGGGATTTCACTCCATTGTACCATACTCTCACAGGTGCCACAAGCTTGCTGAATATAGGTTACCCCTGTGAGCTGTTCCGAATTCCATCCCATTCAACCTTTCCCACCTCAATCTCTTCCTTGCAGGAGGGAAGGAATGACCACACAGAAGACCTTCTGCTGGATGACAGATCAATAATACAAAAGTCTATGTTGTACATTAGTCTGTTAGAACTCCGGGAGCAATCAATGCATAGCAGCCAAGTGGGAGGGAAAAAGAAGGAGCCGTCTGGTTCCTAGATTCCAACAGGCTCCCAAGGCTGGCTCAGATGGGCATAAACTCTGAGAATGCTCCAGACCAAGAAGGGGAAGAAAAAAGGCCTTCACCAGCTTGGAGCGTTGTCATCCAGCTGCTTTGTGTTTCCCACCACAGCACCTGCACATAACCCCACAGTGGTAGCAAGCCCGGAGGGGCAAGTAACAGCACATACAAGGGGCCAGAAAGGACAAGGCGATTAGGGCCAACCACCGGAGGCAGAACTTCTCGTCGCTGGTGTCACAGGAGCAAGGGTCTGTATAGTCTCCTTCTGGATCAGACATGCAGTGGTACAGCATACTGTCTGCACACCACATGCAGCTGATTCGGCGGATACAGCTTTGGACTCTGTCTGGAGCATCCTGGCACTGACCCCGCCGGTTTTCCTCGTGGTTGAAGATGTCCCTGCAGTAGACGCACCGTGACCTCTCCCCATCTTCTTTTCGCCGCCGCTTTTTACACCCAGCCGGCTGAGTTTTTATCACGGCACCCTTAATATCGTCCCCTCGATCGAAATCAGCATTACCAACGTAAGGGTAATTGTAGTCATGTTTCGAGGCCTCCGTTTTGGCAAACCGCACATAGGAGTCCCCATCATCGGGATCAATGTACTTCCCCCGCACAGGGGTATGACGGTAGTCCTCATAACCTGTCACCCAGTTCTTTTCCCGTGGATTAATCCGTACAATCTCCTCATCATCATCGGGGAAGCTGACGTGCCGACATGATCGCAAAATTGACTATTAGAGAGTGAGAGAGAGATTTGAGAAAGCACAATTTTTAAGCAAGCAAGTAGGTATGACATGTACATCTGTCTGTAGCAGTAGATTTATCAGAGATGCAAGCATAGAAAATGACATAGGTGAATTAAAAATCCTTTATTTATTGCAAAGGCTAAAAATATTCTATGTACATTAAAAGTCAACGATACAAATTATTGCGGCACATGAAACTGTAATTCCCACAGCAAGGCAGCCTTCCTCAACTGATACTCTCTAGAGTAGAGAATGATGCTGAAAAGGGTGCCTCTAAGCTTCCTCTCCATAGCAGAGGTACACAAGTTGGGGTTTCAGAGTATGACTCCCACAATCCCTTACCACGGCATTAACCATGGCATTACCTGAAGCCCCAAGCATCCCAACGTTGCCTGTTCCTTCTGAACTTAGAAAGCTAAGCTATACAACTAATCATTTTCATGACTGTAGCATCTGGAGAGAACACCAACGCACGTTCAGAAGCTTATCAGTTACTGATACAGTCAAAATTTACAATGTTGTTTCTTACATACATATTGAGGAGGTGTGGGGAACAGCTGGTTTCAAAGCATGACCTGTTGCTTAAAGTCAGAAAGATGAATTTTAAACTAGGCAACTAGAACATACCAGGCCTAATATGGTCTTCCAAGCCAATAGAAGTAGATTGTTCATATCAAAGTGCTCCTGCATTCATACATGCTGAACCTTTTAGGCAGCCACCAGGCTTTCTGGGCAAAGCACAGTATGAGAAGATCACCATACTGGGATAGCAAGGAAGGAATTTAAAGACAAACTCACTTGTTCTTGATGGTAATGTTCAGGGCTAAACTGTTCAGGAAAGTGGCCACGGGTGCAAATTCGGTGATGCTCAAAGGGTGGAGAAGATGCTAGTGTTCGTAAAGGCTGCTCTCTTTTCTGAGAAGAATTAGAAGAACTGTCGGTGGCATTCTGTAAAAAACAAAAGGGACAAAATTACCTAAGTTGTAACTACAATTTTTCTGCAGATTCTGCAGTCACAACAGATACCTCCATTCCTAAATAAAAACTGCTAAATTTTAAACTGATCAACTTTCCCAAAATCACAGTTGGTTATGCCAAATCTTAAAACCTGGGCAAACAAGTCACAATTTCTGCATTCATATACAATATTATACCTAAAACAGGCTGAATCACAAACCACCTTATTCATTATTTTAGTCTAGTGTTGTTTGAACCCAGTCAGTTTACAAACCAATGTATACAATTTGGTGTTAAAAAGCTAGTTGAAGAGTCAGTGTAATCTACTTAAAGGGATTGTTATGTAATTCTTCTGTTTTGGCCATATTTAATATCACACTGTGTTAACCTCTTATATCATGAAAACTTCCTAAATCTTTTTTGGAGGGGGAGGCATACGGCATACTATTGTACTGAAACAGTATCCCTGGGTCAGTTCTCACTTACTCTACCGTACTGTTTAAAATCATGTGCTCTGTGTCAGAATATTACAAAAACTTGCAAGTTGCATTACCTCTCATTACTGGCTATTATTGACCGAGACAAGAAGAGTCACTATGCAGTGACTACATAGCACAAAGTATGTGGATCTTAAAATGTTAACATTAAGAAGCAGAAATGTACCTAGCCTATTTAAGTTACTTCTATGCAAATTATAGCCATAACATCAAGTTTCCACCCACGCTCCTGCCTCCCTTTTGACAAATTCAAAGGAATCTCTTATTCTACAATTGGGAGAAAAATAACATGGAGTAACATTTGCATTTCAACTTGCCCCAAGTTGCTCAGATTAGTTCTGTCTTCTGATAACCAGGAAAAATTGGGACACATTTTTGATTTTTCTAGGGCAAACTTACACTACACTCAGCTAAGAAATGGCAAATATTTATCTTCAACTGATGTGCAACTGAAAAACAAAACAAAACAAAACCCTGCAGTGAGGATTCTCAAGTGACAAAGGAGTGTGATACTCTGAAATACCTGGAGCCAGAAACCACATGCCAATATTCGGATTAGGAGACTATGCATAGGACTGCTTTAGAGATCCTGGAAACTGCATATGAACTTATATATTACTTAGAAAAAGGGGGATTTTAGCCCCTTTCTAACCAAGTATATGCAAGCCGAGGCTTGATCCATGTGTGCCTCTGAAATGAGAAGAATTAAAAACACATGTCTGAATCCTTATTTGATGCACAGTGTACGCTTTCTCTACTCATACAGAGGCCTTCCAGCCAGGCTTTTAACAAATTCAGCTGGAGCCCTGTGATCCTAACTGGCAAAACTGGGCTGACGTCTGCTGCACAAACTTTAGATCTTCATACTAGTTACCTTCCGGGTAAATCAACATCCTGGCCTGCATCAGAGCAGAAAATGAACTGCTTAAGCTAACTACACCTAGGATTACCTACTACATCACTACCCCTTGACACTTTGTTAAGACTGACCCAATTCTTATGAAACACCTAAAGTATTTCACAGATAGATTAAATGACTGCTTAACTCCTTTCTGTTTCTTCCAAAAGAGAAACTGGAGAACAATAAAAGTTACTATGCTTTTATACAAAGCTTGGCATATTTTGAAAGGATATTTTCAAAGTTTTAGCTGCATCAGCTGTTGAATTCTATTTTGGCAATGGATTCCAGCTCAAATAAGTGTGGATGAACATCATAACTGCAAATAAGTGACCCCATCTGACTTCTTAAAATATCATTCTGTCTGCTCTGAGAAATCTCTGCTTGCAATAACTGTCTTTTTAACGTATCAGGATAAGCTCACAAATGCGCAGCTGAAGTCAGAAGGAATTTTTAAAAGCTGTAAATAGCAAAATATGAAGGCAGAGCATGTGGGCAAAATTTAACACAAATTTTGAACTCAAATGCTTCTATTACAAACAAACATGGTATTTCACCTGTCATGCTGTTCTTATATTAAACCTTAGACAGAGGGGAGGGATGGAAAAAGGTACACCTGTTTTTGGAGGGTCACATTTGACACAACACCCCAACCTGCATCAATATGACCCCTCCCCTTTAAAGAGTCCACAGAGCCACTCGATTTTTGATTCCCATAATGCTAAGACATGATACTTTCTTTCACGGCTTTCATTTAAAGGGCTACAAAGTTCATTTAAGATGTCAACACTTCTCTACAGCCTTACTGTTCTTGTTGCTTGCTAAGGCATGGCTGTACAACCTGAAGTCCACAGACTGCATGCCACCCCCCAGTTCCCATTTTGTACTCCCAAGACTATCCCAAGAACATGCCACTGAATTGCTAATTTTCAGAATAAAAGAAGCTTTACACAAAGAAACCCCAAATATTAAAAATCAACCAATAAAAAATATGCCATAAATGTTTGTCCTTCTTCCCTCTGGTGAGAACACTTCATTACCGGCCATGCTCCCCATGGTCCCTGGAGGCTAAAAACATCATTCGGCTGAATAATGTCGTCTGCTCCTTCTCTAAAGCTACAATTTCCAGGTTCTTGTCCAAAACTAGTCATGGAAAAAGGGCATCCCGATGCAGAACAGTGCCTCTGGACAATAAAGTAGGCAGCCTAGCTCCTTCAAGCAGTCTGTATCTGGGTAGCAGCCAGTATACACAGAAAGGAAAAGAAGAGGCCCATCCAACATTCAGAAGTATCCTTCATGTTTACAATAGGTTGTTTTTCCTGTCCTGAGCTACCCCTCCATTTTGCAACCATTCTAGTTTGGCTGTAGCATGCCTTGAGGAGACCAGTTATCTAAGGAAATGAAGGTTGGCCTGAGGAAAAAGTATCAAGGAAACAATACTGGTTTTTGAAACACAGTGCCCGTTTCCTACCAGTTGCAATAGAACAGCACTCCAAAGCAGGTCAGAATATGCTGAGATTGCTTAAGGAAGTTACAGAGCAGCAATCTTGCATTTTTTTTGCCCTTGAGTCTTCATCAGTTTTCTTTCTGCTTCCACTAAAATGAGTGGGATCAGGGCAGCACTGGAAGAAACCCACCCCATAAGACAGAGAAGGCAGAAACCATTTCAGAGATTAGCTGCAGATCCCTTCCTCTAAATATCCTAACTGCCTTGCTAAAGTCATTCATTATACTGTAGGCTGAAAGGCAATTCCTTAGTCCAGAGGTGTTCAAATTGGATCAGGACTCCTGGAGGTGAGGTGGGGTGACCTTTTCTTCTTTTTAACCTGATCAGGCTTGTGTAGGCTATGTAGGAATGCTCCCAAAATGCGCTCTGAGCTTTCTTCCTTGTTTTGTCTGCACAAGCCTGCAGTGGGCAATTGTTTGCAGACCTCAAGAGATCCTCTGATATATTGGTATTTTAATCATTAAAGTGGTGAATTTCTTGTTCAACTCTAGCCCCAATAGAATCTTAGTTTTGTTCATGGGGGGCAGGGCTGTCATACAAATTGATTTATCATTCTAGGGGGTTGTGCCATTGCAGTGTTAAGAATTACTGCCCAAATCCTTTTTACTTTATGAACAGGAAACTGTCAATCTTCTTTGGGTCAGGCAGCCCAGATTGTATTTATTCAACCCTGTTTATGTACCAGGCCATGCTAATAATTAGGTGGGTGGACCGGCATTCTCCCAATTAAACACACACACACACACACACAATACAATTTCCTTATACGCACAGAAAATCTTAGGGGAATCCAGGACCCAAATATTAGGAATTTCTTGGATCAAACTGCACACTTCAATAAATAATGAACCTGCATTAAATACTGTTAAAATATCAACATCTGTTCCACAGTTGCATTACTGCTAAGTTTTAACTACAGCGATGAAGCTTTGCAGCAACCTCCTTGACCTGTTTCAGCAGGTAGCACCTTCTGGATGACCCTGTCTGGTCTTGGAAGCTATGCAGGGTCAGGCCAGGTTGGTATGAGAGGTGTAGACTAGATGATGTAGCTAAAATATTATCTTAGAAGAAGGAAATAGCAAACCACTTCCATGTTGCTGCCAAGAAAGCTGGATCAATATGAAGACCTTTTTAAAAAAAATACCTAATCTAGCGTTCTCCAGATGAATTGGGACTATATTTCTCAGCATTTTAGATTACAATGTGAAATCACAGACTTTTCTTTTACAAAATGAGGTTACAATGTGCTTTGTTTCTACTATTTTTAGGCTGCAAACATCCATCACAAAGAATGCTTATTTTCATGGTAGAGCATACTCTGATGTCTCTCTACACCACCATAAAAAGAAAAAGAAAACAATAGGATTTGAAGAGCAGTATCTGTTTCATTTATAAATGAGGGATATACATATATGTGTACAAACCACCCTACACAGAAATGTTTGGCATAGTACCATTCAGTAAGGAAATGGCATTGCAAATAGGATTTAATCAGTGGTGTTTCCAAGTTTTCAGAATGACGGAAGACAAAGGAGACACCTTGAAAAAATTAGGTCACCATCTTGGAAGAACCTAACATTTTTACAAACTTGGGAGCACGGTTGTCTCTTCTCATGAAGAACTGGTGGCTGCTCCTCCCCCAGTTCATGACCAACGGTATCTTAAGAGACGTATGTGCTGGCCTCAAAGGCACAGCTGGAGTTACAGCTGAAAGATACGGGAAATTCTGGAAACACAACAATTGCCAGATATTGGCTGCATCCAGAGAGAAGGAGTACAAAATCTGTGGCTATCCAGATCCTGCTGATGTATATCTCCTAGCAGTAGACCCAGAGTTTCCACTCTGAATCAAGGAGTATTCAGGAGTCAGAAGCCCAGAGAAGACAGGAGAAATCAAAACCATACAAGGTCAGGACTTCCCAGTCACAGACTGTTATCACCAGTAATCTTGTACAAAGGCAAAAGAACAATGCAAGTTCAACAATACAAGTACACATATTTCACAGCAAGGCTACTGCATAGTAGAATTCCACTCTGCATTGAGCCATGCCTTGTGCTCAAGGGAAAAAATACCACTACCACCACTCTAACTACCAGGTCA